ATTTTCCCTGCTGGTCATTCTAGAGAGTAGAAAGCCACTAGTTCTTATCAGGTCAAAAGGATTATTCCAGGGACTCTGATGTAAGGAGCTGTGGAACCCAGTACAGGCTCAGCACAGGCCTGCCTCGTGGTGCCCTTGCTGTTTATAGTGTGGTCTGCAGATGGGGTTGCCACTGACACCAACCTGGAAGCTGGTCAGAAAGGCAGAGTTTCAGGCCTGACTCCAGCCCTCCTGGGTCAGAATCTGCATTTCCCAAGAATCCCAGGAGGTTCAGGTGCCCATTGAAGATTGAGCTGCTGTGCCTTCCACAGGAAAAGAAGAGCCCGTACGAGCCCAGAAATGTCTGCCTTCAAGGGTCTCATCCCTGCTGGGAAAACTTCAATAGACTGATTCCAATAATAACAGGCCAGAGAGTGTTGCTCCAGGCCCAGCTGGCTCCTGTTTCCTTGGCTACGAAAGGAGCCACAACAATTCAGACCTCCCAGGGTGGGTGTAAGCATCCAGTGCTTCTCTCTCCTGTGCCTGAACTCCCATTCTCCTTGGGGGCAGAGCTGCTGTTTGCTGAAGAAATGAACGGGCAGCCGTGTGAAAACGCCTTGCGAATTGCTAGGTGTGATTTAATTGTAGGTGTAATTCAAAAAAGTGTGCTTTATAGCTCTTAAGCATGGAATGGTCAGAAATGTTATTATCACTCCTATTAACTGAGCAGTTACTGCCCAGCAGGCACTATTCTAAACACTCAGCAGGTTATTCACCCACTGACGCCTCACAACAAGGCTGTGTGGTGGGTGCTATGGTTATGCCCATTTTACAGATGATAACACTGAGGCCTAGAGGTTTGTAAAGGGATCTATGCATCAGTGAGGCACCAAGGACAGCTGGAACTGGAAATGACCAGGTCCACGGTGGGGTGGAGGGTTATTGCCATTCAGCCACAGCTTTCTCCCTACGGATGTATCAGGGGAAGGCACACGGCAAGGGGGAGCTGAGCCGGTTGCACCCTCGCTTGTCCTAACTTTGCTTTATTCATCCGTGCTGTTCACTAGAAAACCCTTTCTAACAGCCAGCTCCGGCCACGCAGCAGGATGGGTGTGACAGGGAGATAAGAGCCCTAGTTCCTGCCCTCGGAGAGTCCCGGTTAGACAGACTCAGACACAGAAACAGAGTTACAACACGGAACTGCGAGAGCGATAAGCTGAGGGAGGGGGAGCAGGTCTCGCGGGGACCCGCTCACCCTGTCTGGAGTGTGCCCACAGAAACAGCCTGGAGGTGAGGTACAGCACCTCCTCCCCAGCCCCTGCTCTTCTAGGTCTCTGTCCCCCTCTCCTTGTACTGTTGCTTTTCTCCCTTTGAAAGCAGCTGTGATTTCCCCTGCCCCTGGCTTTCTGCCAAAGGTGAGTAGCACTATTAATGACTTCGTCAATATGCTGGGATTTCCACTTGCAAAGCTGTTTTGCTGTTGGGGATGCCCTTCCACTTTTTGTCTGATAAACTCCGGGGAGCTATTTACAAAGATGTGGGCAGAGGGGAGGGAAGCCACAGGGATGGCCTACACCCCACGGCTAGTACTGGAGGGGTACGGTTTGCTGTGTCTGAGTCTGAAGGGACGAGGGGAGAACAGTGACTGGAACCTGGGGAGAGCTGTGGGAGGAGGCCTCCTGGTGGGAGCTGGGACCCAACGCTCCGGCTGTGCAGGGAGGCAGCCAGGGGAGCGGAGACTCACTTCACTCTCCTCCTTCCTCCCAGTGCCCTGCCAGCGCCTCCCATCAGAGTACCAACTGGAACACAACTGGAAGCAGAGGGTGAGGGGCTGGGTAGGGGGCGGGTAGTGCAGTCCACGCAAGTCCGCCTCCTGGGGCACAGAGTGCCTGCTGCTCTAGATGGGCCAATAAACACTATTCAGCACAAGTACTTACCAATGTTATGGGCTGAATGGTGTCCCTCCAAAATTTGTATGTTGAAGTCCCAGCCCCTAGTACCTCAGGATGTGAATGTATTTGGGGACAGTCTTTAGAGAGAGGCCACAGAAAAAAACCGACCTGCCAAAGCCTTGATCTAGAGGCTTCCAGCCTCCAGCATTGTGAGAAAATAAACTTCTCTTGTGTAAGCCACCCAGCCTGTAGTGTTTTGTTATGGCAGTCCTAGCAAGCTTTTACAACCAACGAGCTCCGCAGCGCGCGAGTTATCAGTTGTGAATTTGCCTCTATTTCACCCACTGGAGTCAGTGTCTCTAGGACTCAGCACAAGGTCAGGGAGATGCTTAAATGTTTTCGGGAAGAGTGGGACACTTGACAAGAAAATAAAACAATAAGGCAACCTATAACATATCATCATAGTGATGCAGCCCCAGGTGGCAGTCCGTGGTTCACAGGACACCACAGCCGTGGCGATGCTGACAGCAATCGGACTTGTTAATCATGATCACTCGCCACGTGTGGCTGTGATGAGCGTTTTGTGAGAATGACCGCTTTTACTCTTGCACAAGCCATGCAGGTAAGATAGTTGATGCCACCATCCACATTTTAACATATTGGGAAACAGGCTTGAAAAGTCATGGAAGTTACCCACAGTGACCCCACTAGTGGGCACATCCACAGTGTGATTTGGTGGGACTAAATTGGGGCTGAGCGAATAGGGAAAGGAATAGGACCTTTTGGAGAGTTCATTGGCTCTCTTTCCTCATCCGTAAGATTGCCAGAACATTGCCTATGGCAATGGGTGGTTGAACGACGGAATGTGATACTCCTGATTCCTGGTGTGGTGCATGGCAGGAGCACATCAGCCCCTGGAAGCCTTGAGAGGCTGTGGTGAGAAGAAAGCAAGCCTGACAGCTTCCTCCTATATTATGAATGAATGCACCCTGGGGTGCACACTTCCTGTTGTACATTCAGAGGGTTCCCAATCTAGCCTGCCACCGTATCTCCACGGCCCCCTTACTCTACCTGCCAACATTCTGCTCCTTGGTCACCAAAAGATTAGATATGATGCTGGAGGGGAAAATCGAAAGGCTCAGAAGAGGAAGGGACTTCTCCAAGAAGATCTGGAGAAAATTCTTGCCTTGCCATTCCTCCCCTGTTAAGGGGTTGGGTCTTTGTGTTCCCTCCCTGAACTTGGAATAAACCCTTCTAAGTCCTCAGCAGTGGTAACTGCAGTGGCCTATGGGGGCAGGCCTGAGTGGGAGAAAGGAAGTGTGTTTGTGGTCTGGGCTGACAACTAGCTCTGACTTGGACAGAATTAGAAACTTGTTATGAGGCCTGGGGAGACTATATTTAGCTGGGAGTGTGATTGTTCTCCCTCCAGCAAAGTCTTCCCGACCTTCCTAGGGCTGGGAGAGCCTCCACACTTAGGTTAGCCCCGCAGCCAGAGCTCTGTTCTTTCTTTTCTGCTCCAAAGGGCGCTGAGGCAGCAGTGACACCCACCTCCAAGCTTAGCCCTGGCCTCAAATCACCCTGTCCTCTGCTCCCAGGGCCAGTGTCGTCTGACCTCCTCCGTTACCCAGTCTCCACCTTGAAGCATAGCTAAGGAGTCACTGTGGAGATCTGGAAAGGGTCCAGGCTGGGCGGGAAGCCTGGCTGTGTCAGTTACCCAACAGACAAGTTACTTAACTCCCTGAGGCCTCACTTTCTAATCTATAAAGAAGATAATAATAGCCACCTGTGCGTAGGTGTGTGGCTAGTGAGATAACACAAGCACGCGGTAATTGCTCATCACACATTCCTTTCCTCCTCCTCTCCAGCATCCCCCGGAGCAGGAGGGGTCTGGGGTGACTAGAGGCTCTTTCTTGCTGACAAAGATAATGAATGGGCTTCTGGGAGACGTTGTGTGTGTACATGATTCCAAAGGTTTCACTGGATTAAAAGTTCAAATATATATACAAACTCTTTATAAGTCAAACTCTGAGGGATAAAGAAAAAAAAATTCCCCCTTCCCCTTCAGCAGTTTTACTGGACAGAATGTTCACAGCCTGTATCCTTCCACGAGTTTTCATCCTCACACAAACACACACACTCTAAAGTGTCCCCTTTTTTCCTTTAACATGTTAGGGTCCCGCTAAAGGCGTTTCTCCGAAACTCCCTTTTTCATTTAACTATGTCATGGGTATTCATCTAGGTAAATACACAGGGAGCTAGCTCGTTTACTTAAATAGCTGCGCAGGATTCCATAGAATATATGTACCGTAATTTCCCAGCCATTTCCCATTAGCCATATTATTGTTTTGCCACCACAAACAATGCTGCAATGATGACCCCCGCACAAATATTCCCTTGAAATTGTGCTGTAATTGCTGTGGAGGTACTTTGCCCGAAGTATAATTATTAGGCCAAAAGGTAACCCTGAGAGGTTACTTCCCCCAGATTTTTTAGTTTTTTTTCCCCCCTCGGAATTTGTTTGTTCCAGATACTCTTAACTTTCCAAGCTCCAAGAAGGAGTTAGGCAGCGACGCATCACGGGGAGAAAAAACACGAGTTGGCCGAGACATCCCCATTAGAACGATGCAGGTGGCGCTCCAAGGCCAGAGGGTTTAGTGGGAGGTGGGAGAGGCTAAAGAGCAGGTCAGGAGACGGAGGACCGCAGCTAGGGCTCCAGTGTTACCGCGGGCAGGTGACTGCCCCTGCCCGGACCTCGGCTTCCGTCTGCGTTTTCCGTGACTCCAACCAAGGTAAAGCGCAGTTGGGGCCTAGTGCCGGTGACATTCTAGTTGGCTCTCCTATGACATGGGCTGCACCTTCACCTGCCTCCTCGCCATCTTCCTACCGCGCGGCTTCACCTGCGAGTTAGCTCAGTGAGGCCAGAAAGGGTAAAGCAACCACCAGAATTAACCCCTCCCCGCGATCGGTCGTTTCTTGCATCTGCCCAGCTTTGGCTGGTTCGCTCCTTCCCTTTCGGCTCGGCCATCGAGTGCTCCCGTCTGAAGCTGGCCAGTAGCCGAGAAGCGCGCTAGTTCGGCACATCCTTTGCTTCTGCCTGGCTCCGGTCTCCCTCCGGAGCCGTGGTGCAAACCCGAAGATCCTCCGCTCGGCTTGCCGCTTCCGCCTCCTTCGCCTGCCGCTGGCACTTCCGCTTCCGGTAGCCACTATCCACACTGTGAGAGGCCCGGCCATGGCGGGGAGCCGGCTGGAAACCGTGGGCAGCATTTTCTCGCGGTGCGTGCTCCGAACTGTGGCGGGCCGCGGGTGCCTCCCCCGGGCGGGGGCTCTCAGCTTGGGTGGGCGGGTGCGAGCAGCGCGAGGCCTTTTCCGGGGTGCGGTGTCTGAGCGCGGGGAGGCTCATCTGATCTCTCTCCTGCTCCCGAGTTGTGCTGGACGACGTCGCTCCTGGAATTTCTTGTCTTTCACGCTCAAGATTGCACCTCTTCCTGCCCCGCTTGAAGGTCTAGAGAGAGGAAGGGAGGAGGAGGCTGATGGGCCTGGCTGGGCCTTTGCATTTGACGTGAAGGGAATGGGGCGAGGGGGTGGGACGCAGGCACGGAGATAGAAGGACCTCACTCCCCGAGCTTGGCTAGCTTGGTTTGGAATATGGAAATCTCTCACCTGTAGGCGGGGAGCACCCCTCCTTCCGGTTCTGTGCTGCGGCCTCGGTGATCCCGCTGATGTCTCTGACTGTGGTTAGACCGACTCAGGGTTTAGACAGGCAGTTGTGACCTACTGACCTTCGTTCTTTTCCTTCCTTAAGGACTCGGGACCTCATGCGGGCTGGGGTATTGAAGGAGAAGCCCCTCTGGTTCGACATATATAAGGCCTTTCCGCCGCTGAGGGAGCCGGTCTTCCGAAGGCCCCGCTTGCGATATGGCAAAGCCAAAGCTCCCATCCAGGACATCTTCTACCACGAGGATCTGATTCGGGCGTGAGTGCGATGGGACGCAGAAGGGAGGGTTTAGCTAGCAGTCTGATACTTGAATAGGAATCCAGTCAGGGCTAGCCCGATGGAGAAAGGTATGTAAATTGAGCAGAATTAGGGAATCAGTGCCCACCCCCATGTGAGAGAAAGAGAAGTTCTGAGAAGTAGAACATGGAGCCCAGCAATTACAGCTACGTGTTTCTGCACATGTGTTTTGCAGCAGGCACGATGCTAAGCACTTAAGCAACATTATCTCATTTAACTATCCTTCTCTCCATGTTAGCCATGTGGCCTCTAAGGCTGAAGGAGGTCAGCAGACTGAAAGTTCACTGGCAGAGCCCTTTTCCCCAAATACTTGTCAGTTAGTTTTAGTATTTGGAATTTGTATGGTTTCTTTTCTCTTTAATGTTAAGATCAGAGACTGTGCCTCATTGAAGTTAACACATATCCATTATCCTTACCCCATTCCTGGGTGTAAGAAAACAGAATCTATAAAGTTAGTTTATTTTCTGTTGAGGTCCAGGCACCTTTCACTCGAGAATACCACCCACCCCTTAACACTCCTTTGAGGTAGGAAAACATAGATTTCTGCTCTACTTGGACATTTTCAGGTAGGACACAGGTTCTTTGGGGCATTAAGTGCCTTTTTAAGACTTTATTGCTCAGGTCCATTGGATGCACGTAGTCAGCATGCTTTCCAGGTTCATTTATACATTAAAATCATTTGTACTTCTGCTGTGGATGGCTGTTGGAACTGGGTTACAGTGCATTGGACAGTGTGGAATATTTTATAGCTCTCTCTTTTATTGCTGGCAATACCAAAATAATAACACCTTTTACTAAGTAGTTTTTTGAACATTTATCTTTGTGGTTTCTTTTGGGGGGTTGTGTTTTATATTTTTAAGACCTTATAACAAAATACATTTTAGGTGTATCAAAACTAAGTGTAAAAAAGTGAAATCACAAAAGTACTAGGAAATAACATGGGAGAGCTTTAAGTATAGCCTGAGTGATAGAGGCCTTTTTAAGAGTGACATAAAACCCAGAACTAGAAAGGAAAAATATTCTGCACAAAAAAGTACCATAAGCAAAATCAAAACTCAGCCAACATGCTGGGAAAAAAATTTGCAGCATGCATGACAAAGGGCCAATTTCCTTTTTTCACTGCTATCAAGTTTGCTCATAAGTCAGTAAGAAGACCACCAAATGGAAAAATCAGATGGACAGGTCACAGAAAAGGAAATTCAGTTTGCTTTTAAACATGACAAGATGCTCAGTTTGCCTTGTGAGAAAAGCCAAGACTACCATGAGTTACCATTTTTCACCTGCCAAATTGACAAAGACCATGAAGTTTAGAAGATGTAATTTGGTCAGGATATGGGGAGATAGGCACTGTCATGTGTTGCTCGTGAGTGTAAATTGGCACAACTGTTTGGAAAGCATTTTGGCGACTGGGCAGGCCAAGTTACAAGTTCACATTCCTTGACCCAGTAATACCATTTTTATGAATTTATTCCACAGACTTATGTGCACAGTGCCCTAAGAAATAGAGATAAAGGTAATCACTGCAGTACTGCTTAGAGTAGCAAAGGACTGCAAACAGTCTGCAGGCGCTGATTGGAAATGATTTCTAAGAAATAACCAGGTACAAAAAGGCAAGATGTAGAATCGTGCTTACTGTCCTTGAGGTGTAGATGCCTATGTGCTTGCATGTGAGGAGGCCAGTCCTGGGTGGATGTACAAGAAACTGGTTAGTGTGCCTTCTGGGAAGGCAGCTGGGGAATTGGGGTGTACAGGTGAGGAGGAGTGTTACTTTTCACTGGATACCTTTGGGTAACATTTGGCGGATCTGCCATGAGCATGCATCACTCGTTTAAAGACAAAACCCCCTAAAACTGCCAAGCTCAGGCTGTGTAGCTCATGTGACACCTAACTCCTCAGGGCCTAGCAGTTACCTCTCGGTCTATTCTTGGCCGTGATCTATAACTGGAGATTTATTTCATGTTGTTTGTATTCCCCAGGAAATTTTATTCAGCCTACGGATCTGGTCAAAAAGCCTTTGATCTGTTCAATCCAAACTTCAAGTCCACCTGTCAACAGTAAGTTATTTTGTAAACTCGGGGTGACTTTCTATTTTTATTTTGAAGAATTTAGCTATCAGTTCCAGGAGCCATGTTGCGTTGCGCTAGAGGAAACCGTGTTGCGGTGGGAAGGTCCTCGGGGGGTGCGTCATGCCGAGTAACTGCGGGTCTTGATAACTCAATGCACCAACCTAAGGCGTGACTGCTGGTTGGAATTCCAGGTTCGTGGAGAAGTACATTGAGCTGCAGAGACTTGGAGAGGCAGACGAAGAGAAATTATTTGTGGAAACAGGGAAGGCTTTATTGGCAGAAGGAGTCATTTTAAGACGAGTAGGAGGAGCAAGGGCCGTGAGTATTTTTATTCGCAAAATTATTGTTGGGATTAGTCGTCTATTTGTCGGAGGTTTTGCGTGATGTTTTTCAGAGGCTGGGAAGTGGTACTTGTGAGAAGACTTGGTTTTCTTTCCCCGGCCTTGGCTCATGTTCCTTAGGAGAACCCCAAGTCAAGTACTTTTAGATGGGACATGCTGGGCTTTTGTGCTTGTGACCGAGGCTTGGAATGAGTGAGCTGTTACTGGGGTTTTTGAAATTGTGCCTCTATAGAGATTTTTATCACGTGGGTTGTTAACAATGGAATTTGATAGAAAATATTAACATTACATTTTTGACTCAGTGATAGAAGGTGCCTAAGTCGTATAGCTTCAGCCGGCTACTCGAGTGCAAGTGACAACATCTGTGTGACGCAGTTATGTCTGGTCTCCTAAGCAACAGGACGGGAGCCACAGCTCCTGGAAATCTGAACCCATGGGTGTCAAACCCCAAACTGAGTTGGAAAAAAAACAGCTCCTGGAAGAAGTTCGACGGGACCAGCATTCGGAGGCACCTGAAGAGCCATCGAAAGGTCCCTCACCTCCCTGAAGAATACACGTGCCGTGTGTGTGTGTGACATCCAGACGGTGCTCACTGGATGCATGTTAAACAATGTGTAACAGTTGGGCTCCATGAACATTTCCGGATCTCGCAGGCATTGTGTTCCTCATCTTCTAATTCTGGTTTCCAGGTTGTTGCACGGCTCGGTGTCACGGTTTGAAGGAAGCAGTTATGTGAACTTTCACGTTAGAGCAGTGTTAAATAAAGAATTCCCTAGTGCTTGTAAAGTAAATTCTCTTTTACATTGTAAATAGCACAAGGAAACCTTTATAAGTATCGATTGACTGGGACTCATCTTGAGTAGGTGTGCTTGGATTTTGGTGTGCGAGTGTGGGCTGGCCCATGAGACTTTCACTTACACACATCGGATGATCTGATACGTGCAGATAATCTACATCCTTTTTGCTATGGAAATACTGACCTCCGACTTTAGAGGCCCGGCTGCATTGTGCTTGGCGGTAAGAGTGAGGACCTGTCATTGAACACAGCCAGAGGCCAGAATTATCCCTTTAACCTCATTCATGCATTGGCCGTGCTGGAGACAGTTTGCGTGGGCCTGCGAGCCCCGGCTTTGCTGAGCGAATGAATGGTTGCATCCAGCTGAACACTGAATCCGGAAGACAGCTCTCAGGTTGCCAGTAGGGGCAGCCAGTTTAGAGGATGTTCTCCATCAGCACCCACCTGCCCCGCTGGTGCGAGATGTGCTCACAAGTCCTCACCAACTGTCTTGCTTTTATTAAATAAATGAAATACCCCTCTGAGATCGTCACCTTTGTGTTTGTGATCAAGCCGGTGGTTTTCAGCTGCTTCAGAAATTCCTTAGCTTAACACCCGCAGAGCGTTTCTACCCTGTGTTCTTCGCCCACAGTTTCAGTCTCTGGTGGACTGGGTGGGGCGCCCACCTCACAGCCAGTGTGCGTCCTTGCGCGTGGGTCCCCAGGTGATGAAGGCGAAGGAGCACGTGAGGCAAAAGCAGTTCTCAGCTGTGGTGCTGCTCCACGCCCCCCTCCCGCACACACCTTTATTGCTCTTTGCATTTCCTCTTGTTTGGGGGTGCTGTACTTTCAGGGGGAGTACATTTCACCCATTCAGCAGCATCCGGCAACCACTGGATTCCGAGTGCAGGCCAGGCCTTGGAGGAGGCCAAGTGGAGGGACAGTTCTGTCCTCAGAAGGACAGTTGCGGTCCCTCATGACTTCTCTAAACTTTGTATTTCTGGGGTTTAAAGGGCAGTTTCTTTCCCATAGTGATGAAGAGATTTTTTTAAAAAGCTATTTGTTGCATAATTATTAAGAAAATTATACGCGCACATGGTTCAGAATTTAAAAATGAGAAGCCTCCCTTCCACCCCATCCCCCATGTTTCTTCCCCTAAGGCCATTGCCATCACCATTTCCTTCCAGAACTATTTTGGGCCTGCCCACGGGGACACTGCATACTGTTCTGTACCTTGTTTCTCCGCCTGCTGCGTCTCACAGATCCTTAGTGGGGGTGTGTAGGGACTTAATCAGTGCCCCGTTGACGAAAGCGTCGTTTCTGTGTCTTGTGTGGCACGGAGGCCAGCATAGCCGTGGGGCGCGTTCTCAGCAGTGGTGGTGCTGGGTCGAGGACCAGCTCGTCGCCAGTTACTGTCCTCCGTGGAAACTGCTCACTTACCTGCCCACCAGCAGTGTGTGAGAGTGCCCACACCCTCCCCAGTACATCCCCGCCTTGTGGAACCAGACTGGGGCTCTCATGAGGAAGGCCCAAGCCTGGTAGAAGCAGGGAGACTCCAGTATATATAGCAAACTCATGGGTCGAATGTCAGTGATCGGAGCCTAGTGAAAGGTTTGAAACTCTTCCCACCGGTGGGGTGGGCAGAAGCCACCAGGTCTTGGACCCTGTTTGGAGAGAATGGAGGTGGAACCTCATCCTTGCCAGGGGAGCTTAAAATCTAATGGGGAAGACCAGAGCGACTTTCAGAGTAATGAGATGAGCCCTGGCTGGTGTAGCTCAGTGGATTGCGCGCTGGCCCACGAACCAGAGGGTCGCCGGTTTGATCCCCAGTCAGAACACATGCCTGGGTTGTGGGCCAGGTCACCAGTAGGGGGTGCGCAAGAGGCAACCACACACTGATGTTTCTCTCCCTCTCCCTCCCTTCCCCTCTCTCTAAAAGTAAGTAGATATCAAAAGAAAAAAAAAGATGAGCAGAGTCAGGGAGCAAGATCGGCTGCGGACTGGTGCGGAAACGCCCCGTGGGGAATCTCAAAGGGGGGGTGGCACTTGGTCCGAAGTGCATGCTGCTGCTTCTGCCAGGAGAACCCCCGGCCCCTCCCACCACTGTCTTCAGAAACCTTAATCGAGCTCCTTCCGGGCTGCCCGCCCTTCGCTGCACTGGGCGCACAGGCCCACTGTTTGTGCTCCTGCCTGCCCTTCCCTGGTCTCCTGTTCCAGAGAGGCGACTGTTCTCCATCACTTCCCAGTGTGAACAAGGGTGGGAATTCTTGTTGGTACCCACTGAAGCATTGAACACAGCCTTGCGGGAGAGCTGCAGATTTGAACAGGTGAGGCGGGGCTTGCTCACGGTGCCTCCATAACCACACAGAAGAGCTCGGCTGGGTATCAGGGATGTTGTGAAAAGCAGTGTCAGGTCACAGGAAGATTTGCCCAGGTGTGAAATAAAGGATGTGGTTGGGGGAGTGGGCAGTGAGGGCGGGAGTGGGAGACGTGACAGAGAGACTTCGTTCTCAGAGTAGCCGTTCCAAATGGAGACCACGTCTAAGGTTACAAGCCTGAGTGACTAGAGCAATAGCATCACTGACAAACAGGTGGGAAGAGGCGATGGTGCCATGCTCAAGTGGCAGACAGGTGCCAGTCTGGTGTCGGAGAAGGGAAGGAAGCACTGGAGCCAGGGGGAAAAAATGAGCTGTCCAAGGGGAGTGGGGAGGGGCGGATGTTGGGGGCCAAGCCAGGTGAATGCTCTCAGTTGAAGGACTGGAGGAGGAAGGAGAAAGCCAGCGAAGAAACCAGTGCCTGCCTCCCCCGCCCCTCACCCCTCACCACCAGTGTGGCTGGGTTGGATTCCTGGTCAGGGCACGTGCCTAGGTCGCAGGTCGGTCCCCCCCGTTGGGACACATACTAGAGGCAGCTGATTGATGTCTCTCACATGGATGTTTCCCTCTCTTCCTTCCCCTCTCTCTAAAAATAAATAAAATATTTTTAAAAATTGGGTTCCACATCTTCCATCACCTAAATAGCAAAGCCTGTTGAAGTGGTCCCGGATTCACCAGGTTTTATAGAGTCCTTTCTTTCTTTTGCTGATCCTTGATTTGTGTGCCCTTAAAAAGGCAAGCCCAGTTCTTTTTGTAATTTTGTATAAGACTTAGTGTCATGTTCTCAGATAATGAAAATGTTATTACAGAAAAGTCTGTGCTGCCAGGGGCTTCCTAATTTTGTTAAAATGATACCTTTCTCTAAATAAATAATGACTCGCCACTTAAAAACGTTCGGTGGATTTTTTTTTTTTTTTAATAGGAAGCCATTCCAGTGTGATGATAAGATTTTCTCTGAGGCTAGCTAGCACTGGTGCCTTCCTCTGCTCCTGGGCATCCGGCTGAGGCTCCTGAGAGTGTGGGGCCTCGTCTCCCCTTCTCGGCTGGCAGCTCTGGCCAAGCCTGACTCAGAATTGGGCCGGTAGTTTTCCCACTAAGAGGAGTTAGGGGTATGCGGCATATCATGGCTCTGATAGTTAAGGTAGAGCTAGCTGTAGAGCTAGGAACAAGGAAAGGCGAATCGTGTGTGGGGGTGGGAGGTGAGGTTATTACCACTGTACGTTGTTCCTAGTCCCTGGGCTCCTGAGCTCCATTTCCGAACAGCCAAAAGGTGGAGGAGTGACTGGCTAGTTCAAGGGTGCTCAGCAAGGGGACACTCGAGCAGGTGCAGTGAGCAACTTGGTCTAGGTCACCTTGGCTGGTGGAGGGAGGGCGCCTGCTCTCCCGTGGAAATGACAGGAAATGGCTTGCCTGTCACTCCTAGGGTAGCGCTCACTGTGGCAGGCGGGTGTCTGATTGGATGAGCCCAGCACTGGCGATGCTGAGCCAGACAAGTGGTTATTGCAGCTCGGAGATGAAGAGGTTGCTAGGGGAAGGCAAAGGAGGCGGGAAGTTATTGTGTCCCCTACAAAAATGTAGCTGCCACTGGCCCCTCTGTCTGTGTGGATTACAGAGAGGGGATTTTTGCAGATTGCTAGCTGACAGTGTCAGCTGACATTACCTTTTGGGTCTGGTTTTACCCTCGATGGATGCATTTCCTGGACTGGAACTTAAATGTCAGTCACCTGACCTTCCAGTGGCTCAGTTCTTTTAATTAAAAGACGGTTCTAAGCAACATCCAGTAGTGGTCGCTTTATTATTTATCAAGCATTTTCCTTCCAGCTGTTAGTGAAAGGTCAGGGGCTTCAACGGGTGCTTTGTTTTTTTGGTGAGCAGCTCCGATGAAAAAGATACACAGTCAATCCCTGCTCCCTCCTGTTTGTTTGCTCGTGGGCAGGACACTATTTAATAGTCACGGTGGCATTTAGGATCGCAGGCGTCTGAAACATGCAGAAAAGTCCGTGTGCATACCTTGCTACTGAACATTTCTCCAAAAGTAAACACCAGGTTGTGATTATGGTTAATAATGAGTTATTGATTGTTCGAAAATGTCAGGGCCTGGACTTTTGCTCCCCAGCGCCACTAGGTGGCGCCACACTCTCATGCTGCTCAACTACGCTAATTTTATTTCTTTGCCTCAGGGTACCTTGCCTTTCAAGGTTGGTGAGTGTCCTTGTAAAATAACGTTCTGGCTGAGATTTAGGAAGCTGAGGTCCTGGAGTGTGTGGGATAGGGTAGAGATGGGAGAGGTTCGGCTGTAGGACAAATGACTAAGGCCTGGGGGTGGAGGAGGGCAGGAAGCTGCGCCGTTTGCACCATAATAGGAACGGGAGAGGAAGGAGCTAACTGTGCTGAGCCCCTGGAGGCTCTGCCCTGAGCTGTGTTTTCTTACCTTCTCCAGTCACTGACACATCTGTGAGTTTGCTGTGCTGGACAGAGGGAGAGGGCAGGCGGGGGGCTGGGACGCAGCGCCGAGGAGTGGGAAAATCCCAGGCTCTGGAGAATCAGACCTGGGTTTGAAACCCTCATCGATTGCTTTGTCTTGTGACATTAGGTGACTTAGTGAATAACTTGAGCCTTAATTTCCTTATCTGTAAAACCGGAACACGAACGTTTCCCTCGTCGAGTTGTTATATGGATTTAATGAGAACAAGAACAAAAAAATTCTTGGCACGGAATCAGTCTTTGCTCTCAGTGCTTGGAAGACGCTCAGAAACTGTTGATTCCCAAGGGGTGGAGACGAAAGTGCATTAGATTATAATGAAGAAGAAACAAAAAAAAACGGCGTTGTGTACCTTTCACCAGTCCCTTGTGTAGCCACTTCTCTCAACCCCTCCCTCCAAGCAGTCTCCCACTTATTGCGATGACAAAAATAAATACATTTTGGACAGCTCTCACAGTGACAGCACAAGAAAAAGCAGCACTTTTATATGCAAAACGTGGGGGGAAAGTTGTAAAACTCATTTTGAAGTCACAAGAAGTGTTTAAATAGCTCCTTAGGCCCTGGTTGGGTAGCTCAGTTGGTTAGAGTGTCGTCCTGATCTGCTAAGGTTGTGAGTTCCAACTCCGGCCAGAGTAGATGCAAGAAGCAACCAACGAATTCGTAAATAAGTGGAACAACAAATCAGTTGA